GCGTGTGTGTGTGCGCGTGTGTGCGTATGTGCGCGTGTGTGCGTGCACGCGCGTGGCTGTGGAGGGACCAGGTTCAATGCTTAACTAAGCTGACTGACTGGAGATTTCTGCCAGTGAAGACACTCTCTTCCAGTGTCTTCATAACAACTTCATGAATTAACAGTCACATAATTCAAACGCTGAATGTTACAAAGAGGTCATTCTGAATGGATTTAACTCAGAATATTTTTCATTATGTAAATATTTACATCACATACATATACACTTTCCAAAGAACCAATGAATATATTTTAAATGGCTGAATAGCCAATTTTAGCTTTTTTGTAACCAAGAAATAATTTGCAATATGTAAGACACAGTGAGTAGTGTCTATAAGAATGAATTATAACTCCTTGATCTAATAAAAAAATAGCTCAAATTGGGGGTGAGAGAAAAACTGCAATGATTACACATTCTTTTAGATTATTTTACTTTCTCTCAAATAAGTCAACTATTTTTAAAAAATGAATAAACAGATAAAATGTCACGTTTGAACATGTCTGATGTTTTAAAATAACCATTTAATTGTAATCTATATGATTTTGACTAATATCATCAACTCCCAATGCCATTCAGAACTGAATACAAGATGATGAATTTTACAAATTGGATCGAACTGGAAACAAAAAATGCATGTGGATGAACTGCCAATGGTGGGGGGAGACAGAGAAACTGATGCAGGAACCATTATTAAATCACCAAACCAAGGCAGCCACACTACAATGACACCAATATAATTGTGACCAGAGCAAGTTTTCGTTTTACCTTCTGTCTTGACATTCAAATGACCTTGGGTGAGCTACTAATCACCTATGGGGCCACTTTCCCAGTTTGTAAAGTGGGGATTATAATAATTGCCAGCTACCTCTTAGGAATGCTGGCAACCAGACCCATTTTATAAAATGCTCAGATCTACTTGGAAAAAAATTGTTAATACCACTACCAAGTATGATGACTGTTATTTATGATTCTTCAGACCTTTGTAACTAAATTTGAAAAACGGCTTCATCTGGTTTTCTGAATTTGCCTGACCACTTTTATGCACACAACCAGTTGTCCCCATAATGCCAATGCAGGCAGATTTATTTGCATCTATGCTGACAGTTAATGATTCCCAGATTTCAAATTTGGGCCTGGCATTTACTGAGAAGCTCCTGGCATCTGATTTCTGCATCCTTCCTGTAGTGTGGAGGGCAGTGCTGGCTTCCTAACCACCACCGGCAGCACGACCTTAGTTTTCTTTAAGGTTATTCACTGGGAAGAAACACTAACCCTTCTATCCCCTTGCTATATCTTCTTCTAGATTTTATATTTTTAACAAACCTTTTTTTCCTTTACATATAAGAAATCAAGAAAATAAGGATTAGTTTTAAAGGATCATTGAGCTTGCTAAAAGGTAAAAAATTTCATGTCATTTATTATTTATTTGAGTCCAAACACCTTATTTCTAAAAAAAAATAAAAATTAAATGAGTCAAAACACAGATGGAACTGATATTGTAGAAGGGAAAAAAAGTAAAATAATGAAATGTTAACTGGGGGTAGAAAAAAATCAAGTTTATTTTAAAATACATCAACAACAAAAAGTTGAACCTGAAAAAACTACCGAGATTGAGCACAAACTCACTCTGAGCTTTTAGCGGTCAAGTGGAAATAAAAATTATGTGAATTTGTTATTCGGCTCACTTTGTGTCATAAGAGGAGGCATCAGAAGAACAAATTTTTTCTTTCTGTGTTCCTGAAGTTTAAAAAGGGGCTCCTTATTTTCAGGATATTTTATACTACAGTGCGTTCTTCACAGTAATTATAAAGAAAGCATTTTTAGGTAATACAACACTAGGTGTCAATTGTAACTGAAATATAAATTTTTTTTTAAAAGAAAGCATTTTTTTCTCTCTTAGTCAACATTAATGACAAATTTTAGAAACTTTTTTTTAAACTAAACTTGCCCTTGACTCGTGATATTTTTAACTTTAAACAATATTATAGAATTGGGAAAAATCACATTGCACAAATTCAATCGCGTCCATTTTCTGGTCACAGGTGTAAGTGTGGACATTATAAAGACATCAAGTCAGAAGAAAATCATTCATGCTCACAGGTGATTCCAAAGGAAACAACGAAACCCCCTGATGAAGCCCTATTGAAGCTGTAGGGACAACGCGGCTCTCTCTGTTCAACCACATTTAATCATAACCACAGCTTCCCTAGAACCTTTGCTAAGAGCGCGAGATGAGCGACCCCAGGTGGGCTTTGCAGGAGAAGACCTTGGCTGCGGTCTCGCAGGCTCACAGAGACCAGGAGACACAACCTAGAGCGGAGCTGAGGGGCTGTGACAGAGACAGCGTGGCCCACAAAACAGAAAACATTTACCTGCGTGGCCCTTACGGACCAAGTCGGCAGATCCCAAGAACAGATTCAACTTTCATTTTTAAGATTAGAAAACTGAGTCTCAGCAAAGGGAAGTGCTTTGCCAAAAGTCATGCTATGACTTGATAACCCAAACTGCTGGCTGGGCATCGAAGAAAGACTGTCCTCCCTGCAGGACAACCAGTGCTTCCCACGAAAGTTTAATTCAAACTACAAAGACGGTGAGATGAGGCAAGTTGGACTTTTGGGCCCAAATCAAATGTGCCGAAATGCAAGTTTAAAAAGCAAATCATCACCTTTATGATGCATTCTAGAACCCAAAACCCTGGGTGAGATTTAGAACAAATTGGTGTAAGAATCTTCGCATTATGAAAGTTCCACAGTAAACCTGCTGAGCTAAAGCGTAAGGAGCCTGTATCTCACAGGCTCACAAACTGTGATGTAGTAAGATCTGAGCAAGGGCTTGGCGCAGCCAGGCCCACTAGGGACCTGTTTGAAAACAGACACAAACCTACTACATCAAATGGAACTATCATTGGCCATATTCAAAAATAAAATGAGGACATTACTTGAGAAACATAAGATGTTAAAATGACCTGCAACATTGACTTGTTTAAGATGAGGTGCGTACTTTAGGAATCAAGAAAATAGGTAGCAACCACAATCATTTTAAAGAGAGTGCTTTTTTGTTTCCCCTCCCAAACGTGAATTTGAGAAAACTCATTTAGTTTTAATTCATCAAGCAACATTAGTCCCTCAGAAAACTTCTAATTTTAAAATCAAGAACTCATTTGATTCTCAAGCAAGGTCAAGGGAACAAGGCAGTCTCGTGCTGACATCACAGGATGTGCCCCACACTGTTCAGCAGTTACATCAATGTGGCATGTTGCTATGGTGCCTGACGATTAATTTCGGAAAGAAGGTGATTATGAAGCTGCCAGATGAACATCAATCTGATGACACCACTTCAGCTAAGAACACTGACATGCGTTACTCTTGTTAGCAGCAAGTTCATTTTATGAAATCACCCTTTTGTGATGCGAGTATGACTCTCTAACTTTAAACCTACCAATTCAACACCCCCCACACACCAAAAAAGTTCAGCTTCAACAGAGGGGAAGAGTTTGATATTTGGGAGAAACTGTGACTCTGTGGACCATTTCTTACGGGCAACCTTTTCTTTAAAGATCTCCCAAAATATGCTACATACACACAAATAAATACAAATCCACTTGATGAATATGTAGATCAGAAGAGAACTGAATTAAGATGCCTAAAACATGACAGATACCACCCTACATATTATCCCACTAATCATATTTGAATTTACCTTTTTTGGCTTCTGTAAAGCAATCTTCAGTTACAGTCACCTCAAAAGGTCACTTCTTACCCTGAAAACAAAAGAGAACATCAAAATCTGAATGTCAAGAGAAAGTAGCAACCACCTCTCTTGCCTGGGAGAGATTCAAGAACAACAACAAGAGGACTCAATTATGTTTAATGGCAAGTGGCTTTCAGAGTTAATAAAAACAAGTCCCAAGACCTCCACTTATCTGGACCACACGCCTCTGAGCTCTTCAAGACAACAAAACAGCTCCGATGGAAAAAGCAGAGGTGAAACATTTCAAATTTTGCGTATGAACTACCTCTCGTCTTGCTATCAATTTATTTTCACGTGGAATAATGCATGACTCATAGCCTTTGTTTGTGGAAACCGGGCTGCATGTGAACAGGTCTGTTGGTTAATATCCACAGCCTCTCCAGCTCGTTAGCGAGCCCCGGGCCTCCCCCGGGCAGAGCGAGCCCTGGCCGACGGGCGCGGTCACGCCGGGCCTTCCAGCCGGAGCAAGAGCTCCGCAGCCGGCGGCCTGGGGACGGACCGCGCTTCAGCGGCTGATGAAAGTTCTTCTCAGAATGTTTTCCACTTATCTACCAGATTAAATTAAATAAAAATGGCTTGTGTCAGATGAAGTAAACAACTGAAATCAAGTTTCCTAAAACACAAAGGAAGGATGACCGCTTTCTCCCACATCCACCCCTGCATGTCACCCCCCCTTCTGNTCCACCCCCGCATGTCACCCCCCTTCTGCAGAACAGCGCGCAACCCGTTAGGACGCCTCTCAGGCTGCCCCTTTCTGCCCACGGAGCTGGGATCAACATATGGCACAAGTGAAAAGAAAAACATTTGTTTATTAATTTAGATTAAGTTAGCAATGGGGTACAGGATCCATTCCAAATCAATTGACCAAATGCTCATCTAATTTTTTAAAATGGTGAAATTATATCATCATTCTACTGAAATGTTAATACCCTTTGTTCACTCTTCAGAAAAATATGTAATGAAGTGGCTTAAATTTTATGCAGAATGTATCCCTGCTTATCCTCTGCTGCGGCCCTTAATGTGGAAAGGCAAACATCACTGAGAAGAGTTAAATCTCATTTCACTGGGGCTAGAAATCTGAGAGTGGCACTTTGGTGTGTACTATCTTTGAGGAATTGATCCAAGGCCAATTTATGACATTTCCACAAGCAAGTGTGTGCAGATTCTTGCCATTAAGATTGGAAAGAAATGCAGCCTCTGAGTGAAATCATAATTTTCATGTTTACTCTAAGAGGAAATTGGAGGTTTTCACCATAAATGCTCACCATTTGGGTGGGGGAAAACCCTAGCTCCGGGACTTAAAATTACTATTTTGCAACCTGCCCAAAACCTTTTTGTTTTTACACAAAACAATTCAAACAGAAAATGACAGTCTGCACTTTCCTGCTGATGTGTGTCCCCAGGATAGGTTTCTCCAGTGGTGAGAACTCTGTCGGAGGGCAAATGGTAACAGGGACAGAGAGAGTGGCAGTCGGGTCCTCCAGGTAACGCAAGGTCTGCAGAGCAGCCCAATGTGCGCAAATCAGAAGAGCTGGTCAGGTAGGAGGCACAGTGTTGATCTCACACCAGAAGTGCCCACCTCCACCCCTCGCCCAGTCTCAGATGGGAAGTGAACCCTGGCAAACCCTACTCAATTCAGGCAAGGCCTCCCTGCCTCCCTCCTTTTATCTGAAATGCCCTCTAGTGAGACCCCTGTGAACCAGTTTTCAAGCTTGTCTACTGGGTTGCATCCATTCTGTGTCTTTGGGGTCAGACCTATAATATCACACTGTGCAGTGCAGCTGAGATTGCTCTCACATAGGCCTGGCCAACAACTGGACCTTATTACCATTTAATTTTTTAAAATTGCTGAAAATGCCTACATTGAACAAAGTTATCTCTAGTGCTATGTTCAAACCTGCAGAACATTTTCAGGTAGGTACTGGCCCCGTTTCTCTACTTGCGACACAACCTGGCATTGGCAGGTAAGTGGACAAGTGAAATTTTTCCCTGCGGGGGAGGGGGGTCAAAACAACAGTTTATACGTTTAATCTTCCAACTTATAATTACTAAAGCAATACAAAATTGGCTACATTTACTTTTTACTTATACATAAAAACTGGCAGTGGCATTCAAGCCATCTTTTCCATGATTTTGAAGTTCCATAAATTTTAACACACTCATATTTGACCACTCATTAATTTACTTCTGTTGATTTTAGCTTTTAGTATATATTAGCAAAATAATCTAAAAGATATATTTTGAGCTTTGCTGAGAAAAGATTAATAGTTCAACAGCTGTTTGGCATCATGCTAAATTAAGTGAAATGCGTCCATAGAACAGACAAGACAATTAAGGGCACAGTTCTGGGGCCTAGAAGAATCAGAAATCAGCAACCAGAAGAAAGTCTGCATTTCATTTTCTTCCAGAGTAGAAAACTTTTCTTTCCAAAACTGTATTTGCTATTTTTTAAACAGCAAATCTATCAAATCTATCAACTATTTACCTGAATGCTTACTGGCAGCATGATTGCTAAAACTCAAATTAAATGATCATGTGAAGCTTTTAGGTTAAATATATATATATTTTAGGTTAAATATATATAATATTTTTCTTTCATATGTATATATATATGAAAGAAAAATATTCGCCTCCAGCCCACTTGTCTTTTTTTAAAAAAATGCAGCCAGCATATTAATTCTATTTTTTCCCTTTTCCTCTTTTACTTCAGTTACCCGTTGGTTTTAGGTTTTAAGAGTGAGCCATGGGTATGGTTCACAGAAACCACTTATTCTCCTCTGTTTTCTCTACACTTCAGATCCGGTGGACACCAGAATTGCTGTTTGCAACAGTGTTACTGACCTGAAGCTATGTGATGACCCAAGGACCTTGACCGAGACACCAGTGAGAGCAGAAGCCCTGGTAAGGAAAGGTGATGTGACTTCCACCTCCACCTTCCCAGTCCCTCCCCCACTGGAAACTGGGCTCTGCAGCCTCGGAGGTCAGCACAGTCTTCAGTGTCACACGTTCCATGGGTACACTGGCCCCTAATTTAATCTGTGTGACAAATTATACACAGCGCTAAGGGGCATGACCCACCTGGAACCAAGTTGCAGGTAAATGTGAAGGTGTGATGTCATCTCACACGATGACAAATGAACATATACTCTATTTTCCCATTAAAAGTATCTCCCCCCTTTCTTTGATGGCAGCTCAAGGCATGATTTGCATCAGGGTTTCTGCACTATATTTCATTTTACACAACTGTACAAAAGTGACTGCAGGATGGCCAACATGTCATCTCAACCGTCAGTCCAACCAATGCTGGCTGAGAACCTACTGTGTGCCCTGTCACCGGGGATGCGAGGATGGTCACAGCGAGCTCCTGGCCCAGGAGGACAGGGGCAGGCCGGTGGCTCCTGTCTGGCTGGGGGATTTAGTGGTTCCTTTTCCTGACGCCCAGAAGCATGGTTCAAACTTCCCATACTTCCAAATACTCCGATCCAACGTCAGACCCTTCGTTAGAGAAGGCAGGAGATCTGAATGGGCCAACTTCCAAGAGGCTGCAGTCTCTTCGGTGAATCTTAACGCGTGGGCTTTTATGTCTTGCTTATCAAAGATTTCTCGGAAAAACAGAAGTGTATCCACACACACTGGACTAGCTGAAAAGTTATACTACAGGGGTCACTTCATTTTCTGTACTCAAGACAAGAAAATCCTCTCAGAAATCAATCCCAAAGTGTTTTTTCTCTGCTTCTAATAACTTGGAAATTGGCTACATTTTGAGTCAGGTTTACAAACATAAAAAGGAAAAAGAAAGAAAAAAGCAAAGGAAGAGAAACGGGGAACAAAGGAGGGAGCGGGAGGAGGGAGGGGGACGGGAGCGGAGACGCGGCGGGGGGACGGTGCAGGTCTGGCCCCCGCCCTCAGCCCGGCCTCGCCGCCGCCGGTTCCCAGGCAGGACCCTGGGAT